GCTATTTCCGACCCGAAAGATAAGATGTTGGATGGTATTAGCAATCGAGTCCTCAATTTAGCCAGAAGGTGTATAGTGTCCTGGGAACACAAACCACTTGATTTCATTGGCGGCATCATTTAGAACGACCACTCTGAGGGGACGTTAGACGTTTGACATGTTTTGAACAAATTAGTTCTGCAAACCATTGCCTTTAAAAATGGTCCTGCACCATCTGCTCCACTAGATACAACGAAAATATTTCGTTTACGTAACTCAGTCTCAATTTTCTTCCACCGCTCCTCGACCACTTTATGGTTATACTTAGAGTCGGTCCCAAGCACAAATAGAACAAACGATGGTGCATCTGAACTAACTGGTTGTGCTACTATGCAGTGAGCATAGGAAACTGTTGTTTTTGTATTGTACACGGTTTCTAACTCTTCAAATGTATGCAGTACAAATTCTTCAACACAAGGAATTCCATCTTTCAGGGGCAAACAGAACCCGACAAATCTGTCAGTTACAGGATCGTACTCTACCTTGTTTATAATTCTTGTATCGTCCAGGTGGATATGAACATACTTCGGCGCTTTCCATTCTTTTAAATGGTTTGCAAGCTCGTCGAAACGGAATTCACCTTCTTTTATTTTTTTCTTGCATGCAATGGTTCTGTGCAATGTTGCAACAGCCGGTAAACCGCAGCCAATATTTACTTGGACCATTTCGTAAGCGGCTCGTCCTACTAGGCAAAACAAAGATGTTGCAAACTTCTTAATTGTTTCATCATGTCGATGGCCTTTGCTAGATTCCTTCATGCTATTTCGTTCAGCGTTTTCAAAAATCTTTCTTAAAATAGGCCTCACAGACGCACTTTTCTTATTACCACACAGTGTGTTAATGTTCTCTTTAATCTGATAATTTTGATCTACAAAATCTGAAATCGTATTTTCAAAATAGTCTGTAATTTTTCGTTGACCAGGCAAAGCTGACGCATTCATTAAAGCCCGCTGTTTTCGGTAATCTCTACAGAACCAGCGGGCTGTTGCAAGTTTTTTGCACTCTCCTACAAAGGAAAATAATAGTTGACAAATTTGGACAATAACATTGTCAATGTCAATGGCGCTAATAAACGCAAAATATATTACACGGTTTAGAATATAATGTTTATTTTTCTGAGATTTCTCCTTCCTTGTCACTGTGGTTGAGGACTTCATCTATATCTAAAAAACAAGTGGTTTCACTTATATCGCGAGTGACATATTAGGAAGAAATAGAAAAAGACCCCAGTTGGATAAAAAACACATTTATTTGGTCACAATTTCATTAGACCTCATCATCAATTCTCATCATTTCATATACCTGAGTCATCTTCATTGTGAGTAGAAACAATCTCTCCAAGAAAAGAATCAATTTTTGCAACTTTCTGGGGTATGGGACTGTAACTTCTATTAGGATTTAGCCAGCATCGTTTTGTGACATGTCTCTGTGCATTAGATATGGAAACAGCTCCCTTATTCGTCGTTGGTAATGCAATTTTTACTTGACAAACTTTGCAAACATAGTGACAATCTCTTGAATCTTTCAATTCCTAAACGGTAACAATATTTTACATAATTATGTGTTAGCCTCATAACGGCCATTATACTTGTAACCAGAGTAGTTCAGCTTTAATTAAAAAACTTGTTTTAAAATGCTTATTAATTTTGTAACGATATTGGGAATGTTACTAATTGAAGGAATATGCATATACATATACATTCCAGTGACAGTGAGTGAGGCAGAGTAGACACCACCATAGCCCATAAGTTCTAACAAGCTCAGAATGCCTCTGTTTAATTAAAATAAAGATATGAAAAAAGAACACTTACTGTAATCTTGAAACTATCAACTGGTTTTAAACCAACTTGGGCCAATTTTTCCTTAGCTTCTGGTTGATTATGAATCCAGTTAAGCATCCGTTTATGTATTTCGCTGACACTCAGTGGTGGGCAGGAGCTTGTGGGTTTTGTCATTGTGATTTTCTTCGCAGAATCGTTTGGGATTTTTTTAGATGACCTTTCTGACTTAAGTTTCTCCACAGCATCAAGAAATTTTGTTAACACTGGCTATAAAATTTATGAACATACATGTTGAAAAAATTGGGCTGCATGCAGTAATTAATCTGAAAACCATTTACGTTTATTTTATTATCTCTTTTTTTTCTCGAAAATAAATAACAAAATCATTCAATAGTTTTGATTTTGAAAATTTGGCATACATTTTTGAAGAAAAAAATCAATACCATTGTTGTCATAGTAAGAGCAATATTTTTGATAAATAATAACTCTTCGCTGTACATTTAAAAGCAGAGAGCTACCTTGTGTTATGTATTCTCATCAATTACGTAGGAAAAAAAGAAAGAGATAATATATAGCAAGTCCCCAGGCACAGTGCGTTCCAGTGGTTTTTTTCTCGTTTTTCCGCGTATAACATTGATAAAAAATATATATAAAAATATACGTACCTCAAGACCAGGTAGAAGCATAACTTTTTCTGGACACTTGCTGAAAATTCCAAACATTGCATCTTTCTCTTCAACAATGTCTGCCATTGTTTTGACAAACGAAAACATTTTTTCAATCTCGTCTTTGCTTTTTAGTTTAAGAACCGAATCTATTGTCTCATAGCCGCTGAATTTTATTATGTTTTTTAGATAAGTTCCTTTTGACGGAAACATATTCCAAATTTCATCAGGAATAGCATCTGTAGTTTTTTTAGGATCTGTAGAATCAATTTCAAAAACCTCGTCAACCTCCATTTTTAACGCAATAGTTTTGGCGCGAAATTAGTGCATAACCTTACATGAAGTAGTTGGAATACTTAGGATTTTTAGGGATTTTTATTGATTTGCAGGGATTTTCAGAGATTTTTCGAGATTTTTAAAGATTTGAGGGATTTTGAGAGATTTTTAGAGATTTTTAAAGATTTTTCGAGATTTGGGGGATTCTTAAGGATTTTTAAGGATTTTTTTGACGGGTGTACGAGATTTTTTGAGTGATACACCCCTCGATTATCAACACATTTAAAATTCACCCAGTCTGCATTCAGGGGCCCTTCCGCAACAGATCTGTGGCGGGCAGCAAGGGCTGAATGACCCCGCCAAGGAACATTTGGCGGGCATCACAGCATCTAAGCTGTGCTTGGCGGGGAAACAAGCGTAACAAGAGGAATTTTCCCGATTAAGAAATGGTGTACAACAATTGCTGTCAAGAAGCAAGTAAAATTTCTTCTTTATTCTGTAATTGAACCGACAGAGCATAAAAAACAGAAACACCATCTATTTGGAATTAAAACCGTATATATTCGCGATTCCCGGCCCCCGGGGATACTTGTCGTAAGATCTCGTTCCCAGTCCCCACAGAGCCCTATTAGCGTTCGCTATAAGAGTCGCTAGGCGCTGGCAAAACTAATCTTTATGGTAAGTCAACCGATCATCTCATTTACAATTTTCAATTTCACCAAACACCACAAGGGTTTTTCTTTGCTTTTTATTTCTCGTGCTGATTGCTAACTTGCTGAATCAGTCCTGATTCATCATCATGATAATCATTTGATTTTCGAAATTCAACTTTCACTTCGGTTTACATTTCATGCTATTAACTCAATCTGTCATCAAATATATTCACGACACGTAACACTACCAACACTGTACATTATTTATATTATATTGAATTTGAATAATGCATGAGGTCAGTGTCTCAGTGTTCACGAATGTGCCTGGTTCATGAGTGTGACACTAAACGAAGAGGCTGTGTACAAATCCATATACTGATATACACTGTTGAAGATGTGTATACAATGTTTGGAAAGGAGGTCTGTCTAGTAATTGATATCGCGTTGGCTAAGGGTGGCCCAGAATCGATTGTAGAGTCTTATTACTCAACAATGAAATCCCAACAGCAACCCGGAGGTCAAAGTAATGACACTTTGTCACTCCGTACCAAGCTGGACTTGTGTCTACCGAATGTCTTGCAGGAAGACAGGATGATCAAAGAGGTTGCAAATCTCTACATCAATGGTGACAAGAAGAAAGGGCTAAAAAAAACCCCACAAAGCTCCTGTGCTTTGTGAGCGACCACCTACAAGAGGCAACACCAGTAAAGTGATCAAAAGAATAGAGAAAAGTGACGCTAGGTTACCATTTCTATTATGAAAATGCAGACGCAGTGATCACGTGTTAATGAGCGGCCAAGATCACAATCACGTTGGGATTTATATATACTTTTACTTGCAATAATCATCCAATATTGCTTGTGTTTCATATTGCCTTTATTTATAATATTACGTTTCATTTATATATTATGTAATTAACGTTTTATTAAGCAATAACTGCAATTTATATATTCACTATTGTTGCACTTCCATGTATAATACAGTGAATAACTTGTTTATAAATTCACAAGCCAAGATTGATTGTCTGTCATGTCTGACTCTGACCGACTCATTCGTATCATCTTTAAAACAAAGGTTTTTAGTCTGATTGTTATTCCATCAGTAGATGGCGGTTGGCGGAAGGTGTAAGGATGTCGAGTTTTTTTCAGCTTCTGGCGGGGAATTTTTTTCGCAGAAAATGCTGGCGGAAATATGTGGCGGGGAAGAAATATAGAATGCAGACTGGAAATTCACAACTACATGGTCTACAAAGCAACTAAAGTTGTTCTTGTATCGAAGTTATTCTCATTATGTAACGATGGGGAATAAGAAATCATCTGGGTATGCGAAAAAGCGTAAATTGTCTGGCAATCAGTTTCAAAATATGCTTAGAATATGCTAAAAGCTTAGAATTTCTGATCAAGGTGAGATGAGATACTTCTGCTTCAGCTCGAAAGATTTCTGCTAGGATTTCGACCGTACATAAAGAATCCATAAAGAAGAGTGTGTCTGG